TTTTTCCTTATTTCAAAATATGAGGATAAAGATAAAAGGATAACTCGATATTTTATACAAAAGAAAATTAAGCTTGGAAACTTTTCCGACAGATGACATAACTTGCGGCAACTTTGGAAAATGTTATATCAAAATGAGATGGATTGGTTATGGTAAAATCAATTAGGATAGCTAATTATTTTCATCAAGCCGCGAATAGGTTGAGCTATTAATAAAAAAAATTTAAAAAATAATTTTTAAAAAATATAACCAAAAAAATGATGTATTTTAATTTTATTATTCATGACATGACATGAAGCCACCCAAGCTCATTTACATTGTTATCAAATTAAATGAGAATATAGTATATTAAAAAATTTAACCAAATTCCAATATTTAAATAATTAATAACCTTAAGGAATTTTAAAGCTATATAACAAAATTAATACAACCAATTTTTTTCCAAATTTTTATAGCAAGGTCAATATCGTAACTTGAACTGCGAACTCATTAGAGGAGCATCATTGAAATTAGAGGGGGGATAGTTAGTTATGAAATAATTATCATTATTTGAAAAATTGGAAAGGGATGAAAGGTATTTTTTTTAAAAATTATTTATATTTGGCAGGAGGTTAAGTTTTGAGAGGGTTGATATCATTTATTTAAAAAATAATTTTTTTTTATTGAATATGTGAAGGAAAAAGTAGAGCATTGTCATAACATATCGTCTAAACCAATAGGTTTGTTTGTTAAATATATAACTGAAGTGTAAATTTTTAAAAGAATCACTGATTTGAACAAAGACTGGTTAAAAATAACCATGGGAAAAAAATCTGACAAAAACACTCCGATATAAATTTTTATGCTTTAATAAATAAAAGGAAAATGTAATCCTCGTTTTAAACTTTGCCCTTTAGTGTAATACTTGAGTATTATTTTAATAGTACTTTTCTAATAATGTTGCTCATCAAAAATGATCATATTTGTAAGGGGAGACAACTATATGACTCAAGGGCTAGGAATATGAATTTTAAAATAATTTTATAATGCATGACGAAAGGTAGTTATTTTTGAAATATTAATCCTGGGATTGATGTGGTAGATAAAGAATGTGTCACACACATATAAAAGAATTTGTAAATACCCTCATAAAATCTATATCTTGATGAATGAGTCTTATGTAACCAGCTAAATTTTATACCAAAGTATCCTATATTTTTGTCACAAAAAAATAATGAAAATATAAAAATTTTGAGACTATTATATAAAAACAAACAAAATTTTTATTATTGTAAATAAGAATTTAAAAAATTAAACATTCAATGTTATATTAATAGCGATTCCTTTAAGATAATCTAATCTTGATCGATTTTCGAAGTCAGAAACAATTGTTACTATTCTCGCATGTAGATTTCGATATTTTTTTCTCGGGGTAGAGGGTGTTTCACCAGAATTATATTGAGCAATTTTTAACTCTGTCAACCCTTGTTGTTTTTTTAAGCCTAGGAAAAATTATATAGTTTATTAGTAAATCTTTATACTTTTTAAATCATTTTAAAATATTAGATATATAGATAACTTGATATAAATTTCCACATGTTTGGATGGTAACTTGTTAGGAGGGAACTGAAGCATCTATGCCACCCTTCAACTGCGTTGTTGGTTTTCGCTTCCCCGTTCAGTGTTGATTGGTAACAATTCCAGAGTTCAATATTAAACAAAGCAGGTAGTCTGCCTCTTCCAAACGTTTTACCAATATAAGCTTTTTCAAAAGTTTCAATTAGAGGCTAAAGTAACAATTGATTATTAGAATAAAATTCGGAGTTTATTAGTAATTCAAATGTTTCAACTACATTTAAGGGTGGCACAAACGCCAAACAAACCATCATTCTAAGTTGTATATTAAATTCTACATCTGTTTTATATTTATGCGATATTTCTGGATATTTTTGAATGTTTCGCCAAAAGGATTGGCCAAAATGGAAATAGCAACATTTGTGTTGCCAATTGGGAAACACTTCATTGAAAGCTTTTACACTGGCCATTTCAAAATCCGTCATAATTTTTTTTGGAGTTGATATTAAGTTGTCACCTATAATAGTAAATATTCTTTTATAAGTTTCATAATCCTTTCTATTGGTCAATATATATATGAGAGGTAAAACATTATTATTTCTAATCCCATGAATTGTATAAATTTGCATAAATAAAGGTGGCGACGATTTAAATGTACCATCAGAAAACCAATGTTCGCATGAAGCTAAGAAGTCCAAATTTTTTCTTGTTCCAAATATGATAACACGGTCGGGAACCTGACACACATGATAAATAAATAAGCAATTATAATAAAGTGTTTCTTATCGGGCAGCTTATCGCAACAAAAATGAAAGATTTAGTTATATTTGTTCAAAAAATTTATAGAAAATCTTACCGGACCATCATCATGAAGTATGAAATCCTCATATTTATCTGTAATTGAATATTCATGCAGAATTACCAGCTCAATAAGGCTGCTAGTATTCGGAGGTGCAAAACTGTTTAAACTCCGCGTTCGGTGAATTATACGTTTCATAAGATTCGGTGATGGTAGTGCCATTGATATAGAATCACTTAATTGAGATACGTGTTTCGCCACAATAAAGTTTGGAGTTTCCATAGTATTATTCAAAGCTTCATTCTTAATTGAATTGATTATTTTCTTGGTTTCCATTTCGATTGGATTTTCTAGATGATTGTGTATTTTATTATTATCTTTTATCTTACCATTTTTTTTTGTGAGTCGTACGGGACATTTAAAAATATCCTGATTGATACATCTATAGTAATTAGTATCTGAGACTACTTTATCCAGGCGGAACAAATAATTTTTAAAGGTTAAGATCTCCTTATTTTTGCTTGATAACATATTTTATAAAACTCCGAAATAAAGAGGAAAGAATGGCGAAAATATTTATAATTTATAACCAAAGGAATGGCACCAGCCAGACGGGAAAATTTTTTTTTTTAAATTTCGGCAATACTTTTTTTTAAAAATAGTTATAATTTATCAAATATATCATTAATTATTTGTTAATTTTTAGTGTAGCTATTTTTTTTATTATATTTTAAAATTATTTAAGATTCAATAAGAACCCATATCAAAATATTATATTTAAATTAATTGAAATTAATGCCGAGTTATTATACTAAAAATTTTATCACGCCCCCTCCCCCCCCCCTTCAAATAAACAGAAAAGATAAAAAGATATCTATAAAGATTGAAAATAATAAAATTAATAAATATTTTAAATTGGGGAAATCCCTTATTTCACTTAGATGTAATTTATTTTTGAATTGCTATTCAAAATTGATATTCTAAACAGTAATGTTGTAGACTTTATTCATCTACACTGTTTAAGAATAGTGACTGCCAAAACCACGGTTGTGCATTTGACCGATCAAATATAGTTAAAATCAAATAAATATTATTTTATATTGAATATCATCATTTTCTTTAATATTTTTTAATCAATTTTCTTTTTGTCTAAATCTTCAATAGATTTCTGTTTTAGTAAGATTATTGACACAAATCGACCAATTTATTTCTGAAAAAGAAGTAGATCTAGAAATTGTTAGTAATGTCACTTCTCTTAATGGCCATGGTGGTCAAAGCTAATTCCACTGCTTGAGTTTGAAATCTGATTGTTTCTTATGGAAGTTACTGCTATCCCCATGATTTTCTATTAAACAAGCCGCTTTTATTTCTGAAATTTATGATATAGCTTGAAATATTTTGATCACCAACTTGTATGCCTAATTCTTTTATTATATTACATACTTCATTAAATTCACTATGATTAAAATGCTCTCCTTAATATTAGGAACTCAATAAGCATTGTGATCACATTTCACATGTATTTATATCGTTTTTTCTTTTTCAAACATATTTTTATATTCAGATCTTATAGAATATATGACCACTTGACCAGGTCAAATATTCTCCCGTTCAATTGACCCGTCAAAATCTAGTCATTTGACTGGTCATTTGACTGACTTGCTAAACCTGGCCAAAATTGATTGATAAATTTATAAATATTAAGTCATCAGACAATAAATAGGAATGCTACCCAGATATCAATTTCGCCAATAAATATCAAGATTTAACTAATAAACTCAATGATTAATATATTGATAAAGCTGAGTTCCTTGTGCGCGATTATTATAAAATAAGAACTTCGAAGGAAAGGATAGGATAGCGAAAAAAGTGTATTTCAATAACAAATTTCATAAACCAGTCTAAGTTAATTAATCATTGTAAAAATTTTTTAAGGTTATAAGAAAATTACAAACTATGTGAATTAAAAAAATATTATTCAAATAATATAATTATAAAAAAATGATTCAAAATAAATTAGTCATTATTAGCAATTACCGCGATATTAAATTCTCTATAATATCTTCGCGATATATGTTTCGCGAAATAATTGTCGCTACATTGTCTTCGCGATAATAATTTCGCTATAAAATTTTCGCGATTAAAGTTTCGCGGTAATGTATTCGCTTTAAAGGTTTCGCGATAAAGGTTTAGCTATAAAAAATTCGCGATATTTTTTCGCGATATTGCATTCGCGGAATAGTATTCGCTATTATGGATTCGCGATAAAAGTTTCGCTATAAAATCCATTCGCGATAAACGACATTCGCGATAAAAGTTTCGCGATAAAAGTTTCGCTGAATTGACATGGAACCGTTAGTGATACCCTATCACTATATTCTGTGTCAAACATCGGTTAACTTCAAAGGTCGCTCTGTTTGCACTGCAAGTGTAGAGGCGGCAGAATCATTAGGCATTCAATATTCAATAATACTATAGCCAGGGTCTTAAAATCTGCTAGTATCCCTTTAACCCTCGAGTCCACTAGCCTATACAATTCCAATAGTAAACGGCCTGATGGTTTTACAATGATCCCTAGAAAGGGGGCGAATTCCTAACCTGGGATTTCTCATGCATTGATCTTCTTGCCCTTTCCAATATTAATAAGGATGCTTTAATAGACACCGAGGTGAATAAACTCGATAAATATTCACCATCGTTACCTGCCAACTATGCTTTCCTGCCATCAATTACCACGACTTTAACATCGTTCGTCTCTCACGCCCTAGCCCTTTTTAAAGAGTTGAAACACCGAATCTCTGCTAGGACAGAGTATCTTACTACCTACTTCAGAGGTTAAACATAATAAAGTAATCATCTCAGCTTTATTCTATGAATGACCGAGACCTCGTGATTGAACATCTTGCACTTTGTATATGCTTAGGTTATTAAGCTGGCAAATAACGTTGGCGCTAAAAAGTATCTTGAATCTCAGACGATGAAAGATAGCAAAAATTAATGACAAAAACAGAAACATGGGTAATAATATGCAGACGAGAGGATCAGTGGCCTCCAAAGAAAAACCAATGATGCGTTTTGGATGAAGAATTTACAAATTTTAGCTTACTTAAATTATTAATATTATATAAATTTTAGCACTTTTACAAATATTACTTTTTCTTAATTGATATTATTATAACGATTAGCTGATTTTTAAAAATATATGAATATCAATAATACCTTAAATTCACTTATAATAAAATTTTCACATAAAAAAACGATTAAAAAAACGATTAAAAAAATTAAAGAACCGTTCGTTTCCCAGAAATGCGTTAATTCAAATAAGTTAGGTATTTGACTTTTCCTATTTTCTAAGCCTAAGAAAACTCAATAATAAACCAAAATAAGAGTATGCTAAGTAGTTTTCTAAAAAATGCACTTTCAAATTTTGCTAAAATTAAGATGAGCAAGGACGCATTCATTTAGACTAACTTAGTTATAATAGTATTTGACATGAAAATATATAATAATGATGACTTATTTATTAAGATTAACCTTTTTTGAACAATCCGCTATCAAAAGTTTAAAGAAACTTTTCTTTTCAAATAAATCTGCCCTACTTCAGGAATTCAAAAAACTAGACTTTCAAAACGAAGGTATATTGAAAAAGTATAATATAATAATTGGTTAAATTTTTTTAGATTTTTTATTTTTATGCTAAAAAAAATGTATGGAATTTACTTTTTAAAATTTATTACAACTATCAATTTAAATATTTTCTTTTAATATTTATAATAATTAATTTCCTTCATTAATTATCGCTCGTTACTGTTATATTCAAGGTTTTTATGTTTTCATAGGCGAACTACCTTTAAACAAGCTGTTATTCCGTTTACCCATCAGTGTTCATTAATTATCGCGCGTATTATATTGAAGGTTATTTTATTTTCTTAAACTTGCCAATATTGAGCGAACTAATCATTAAACATGCTGTTATTTTGTTTAGGCATCAGAATTCCTATTCTTTAATGATCGCGCGATTTAATTTTCTCATATTTCTAATCAATTTATTAAGTTATGCACAAATTTTCTTTAGTTGTTTTACGCAAAATCAATATATTTTTAATCATCGCGCTATATTTACTTATCCATTTGACTTATGGTATCTAAGAAAACTTGCCAATATTTAGCTTGATTCTAGGTAAATTTGGAGTTATTCCATTTTTGTATCGTGGTGTTTATTTTATATTTTTTTAAAATAAACACCGTTAATTTTAAAAGCCGAAAATAATTATATTAATCTTTTAAATTATGGCTCTATTATTGATTTTCTTATCCATTCGTGGCTTATCGTCTGTAGTAAAACTTGCCAATATTTAGCTTCATTCTCTTTAAATTTAGGGTTATTCCATTTTTGTGAGTTCATTATTTTTTTAAAAAATAAAAACTTATTTTAAAAGTCAATTTCTTATCGCTAAATTAATTACCGCGTTATTTCATTTTTTTTCTTTTTATTTATCTTATCTTTCCTTTTGGTTTAGTAATGAACTAATTACTTCAAAATTAAAAATTCATCCGGTAATATTTGATAAAATTCACGATCCATTCTCGCTTCTTTTTATTAATTTTTATTTTCGCATCTGGACATACCTATAAATACATTCACGCATTGATTCATTTTTTTACTCACTCAAGTTATTTGCTTTACACTCTAATATTTGGCATTAGCCTTTTCTTTTAATCACAATGGCTACTCACATTGAACCAAAATCTGCCCGTCCTGCCTGAAACTTACACATTTAACAAATGTTGGTGTATTTTATGTTCATTAACCAAGGATTAACAGGTTCCCTCAATCAAGACCATCATATCTCTTCAGAACGCTTATGCGTTTCCCAGCCCTTTCATAGAACATCCTTTAAATCACGCTTCTAATATATCTTTCTCAGACCTATTCCTCAATACCAAAAAACCTGACATCATATTAAGAAAGAATTCCCTAAGGTGCTAGGTTACAAGTCGCTAAGTCTCTCTCTGATGGCATCTCATCTCTATTGAACTTTAACAGTTAGACGGAATGGCTTAAATTCTTATTCTTTGGTTATAATACCGTTAGGTTACCTGATAAATCCTCAAATTTTCTTTAACTCAACAAATTAAAGATGACACCTTCAACCTTTCTCCCCATCTTTAAGAGTTTAAGAGTCTCACAATTTTTAAACAAAAAAAACTTCTCCTATAGAGCTTAAAGCCAAACTTATAAGAAAGTCGACTGTTTAAATATAAAGGTGCTCAAATTGGCCTCCTTTTATGATTTACTAGCTGACATCTATGTTTAGACATACTTAAAACTCCTTTCAAAAAACTTCTTTCACTTCAATGCCAATCACCCAACAATCTTATTCTCATTGTGCTTCGATTTCATTTCAGACGAGGTAAGGAAGGCAATCCTATCTTTCCACTGTGATCCCCTCACGGTCTAGATGAATCATACCCATATTACAGTACACTACTTCTCCATCTCACAAACTTCCATCCTTCTTAAAATCACAAACTTGTGCAACCAAATCTTATATGATGTTGTTCCCAGTTTTGTCTCCCCTATTCTTTTGGAGTCAGACTTATAGCTTTACAGAAGCCTAACAAAGATCAGATCATTAGCTATGGGTTTAATTTTCCTCCGCCTTGTCGCTAAAATGATTGCATCCAGTATAAAATATGAGGCCTCTCACCTTCTCACCCCATTTTAATTTGGGGTAGGAGTCGTTGGCGGATGTGAGGCCGCTATACATCTTTCGTCTTTATTTGGTGAGCATTCCCATAAATAAAACACTTATCATAATTGATTTTCTTAATGCATACAACACCCTCTTACATAACTCATTCTTGCAATCAACTAGCACATCATTCCCATACTACACCAAATTTCTCTATTCATGTATTCATGTTACCAATTTCTATTAATTTTATCAACTCTCAAAAAATACTCTTTGTCAACGGATCCAACAAAGTGATCTACTAGGATCCCTTGTAATCAATAATATAATTTAAACCATTAATTCAGAATGCTCACTTCCATTCCACTTCTGGTATATAAACAATGGAATCATTAGTGGACCTCAATTTTAAACCAATAAGGGCGTACCCATTATCAAGGAAATGGGATGCGCTGTTGGATTCATTGCTTCCTCCACTTTCTCTTGATATTATTCTTAGGCTTGGTAACCTCATTGACTTGCTACCCTCGCATAAATCATTTTTCCTCCTTAAAAATTTCTTTAACATTCCATGCACACTTTATGCTATGCGCTAAACGCCTATATTTAAATATCGTATCTCTCTCAGTATCTATGAAAAAGGGGATCTTAACGAAAAGATTTTGAATCTAAAATTTAATAAAACAGTATGGGTTCAAGCTTCATTACCCACCAAATATGGTGGTTTAGGGATTAGATCTCCCACCGATCTTTCTCTCACTATATTTATTTCGAGCAGGTATACTATCAAAACCCACAATCACATCCCACATCTCACAAAATGACTTTCTTTATGATATCCTGCTATGAAGAACACGCTTTGATGATTATCCTTTCCCCGAGTCCAATACACAAAATCTTTGAAACATGCCAGTTGTAGCATGCTTCGTTGAATCCCTATTATCTAGCAGGCTTCTAGCAGATCCTTCTATATTTACATCTTTGCTTAATGAATCTGGGCATCAATTTTTGGCTTCCAAAAAATTTTAACTCTAACTTACCAACAAAGAGTTAACTGACAATAGAAATCCCCCTAAATTGTACAATGACTTTTCTTCACTTCTGCTCTGGCTGCAGAGTCTCCATAGACAGCAAAGGACGACCCATCTTACATTGCAGGTCGTAAAAAGAACTAATCCTCAGGCACACCCATTGCAATTCTTTTCAGCGAGCATTTAAATTGGCCCAAATTCCAGTCATACCTAAACCACCAGAACTTTTTAGATCCGATGTAAAGCGGCCTCACGGAATCACCCTGATCATATGTAAACGGGGCCAATTTCTGGTTAGGGATTATTTATTTATAGACCTATTAGTTTTATCCAACCATCAAACCTACTTAAGCAAAAAGGACAATAGAAAATTTCCAAATATTCTACATTATCCCAATAATATCCACTACCTTAACCTACTTTAGTGAGCCTGCATTATCCTTCTTCATGGATTTAAGATCCCACATCTAAAGCTACTGGGGATCCTCGAAAATTCTATAGCTATCCTTAAAGCGAATCAAAGTTTTTATGGCAGTCTTCTTCTACAGATCTTCGTTAGACTCACCTTTTCTTCCTTATTCTTATCATTTTACAATATATTTTACCTTTATATTATTTAATATATTTTTTTTCATAATTGACCTATATTAATATGAATAATAAAAAATATGTTATAATAAATATATTTACAAAATTAAATAATGTTTTTCATTTACACTTTTAGGTGTGATACCAATGTCTAAATGGTGCGATGCTTTAGAAAATGTTCTGCAATTAAATCTTCCGTGGAGAATAATTTCTAAAAACTTAGTAAAACTGGATATAAATAATAATGTGATTTACAATACATTGTTTGATGATGTAAAAAGTTTGAACTCCAACAAATTTGTAAGTATCAAAAATTGTTATAATATTTACACGTATAATTAGGAAGGTGTTCCAATGATGGAAGCAATATATAGAAATAAAATTAACCTTGAAAATATATTTAGACTAATCGATACAGATAATTCAGGTAATATTACAAGATTGATCTAAATTTAAATATTATATTTAAATTAATTTAAAATATAGAGATAAGCTAAATTGAAGTTATTTTATTAAGAGCAGGTCTAGGTTAACAGGGTCTAAAAAAAAAGAGAATAAAATAAAAATAACACATTAAAATAAGCAATCGATAAAAAATGACAAAAAATGAATAGAAAATGTAAAAACCCTCCCAAATACTTATAATTATTTTTTAGGACTAAACAATTCCTACAAATTTAGGAAAATATTTAAATCTACAAAAAAATATTGCATGAGCGAACCCGATCCTGAATTACAAACTCAATTAAACTTTTTACTAAATCTGAACGAAACTTATTACTGTTTTATTTTTGGCACAAGTATAAAATTTTATATAGATAATTTTGATTTTATAGGTAAAAATTAATATTTCAAACCTGCATTATAATAATTTCAATTTAAAATTTATCGTAATAGTCATTATCAAACTTTAGATTTTTTATAAAATATTATTTTTACTAAAATATATTTAAAGCATGCAATAAATTTTTTTTCCTAATCTTAATAAAACTAAAAGACATTAATAAAGAAAGGAAATTTAGAAAAAATGATTAAGAATTTTAAAGCTTTCAATTTTTGATTCTACACTTTTTCTTATTTAAATAATATCATTTAATAAAATAGTTAACTTTATTTATTATTGATATATAAGAAATATATCTACACAAAAATTAAATTTTATTTTTTATCGAATAATTTTATAGGATTAATATCGTTATCTGAATTCACAGAGGCATGCAATTTTTTAGGGGAACAGTCTGATAATATATTTTCAAACGAAGATATAAAATCATTAGCTAAAAGCTTAGACCTAAACAGTGATGGTTATATTGATCTTAATGAATTTCTAGAAGCCTTTAGACTAGTAAACGAACCACCCAAAGATTACCATACATAATATTTATATTTTTATGCAAGAAAACTTGTTATTGTTTATTATTCTATTAAATTATAATATATCTACTTCCAATCATTTCCTATAATTTAATATTTTTATTTAATAAAATGATTATTGAGTATCAGATCAAGGCGTTTTCATTGATTCTTTTAGTCAAAATATTCTGGGAGCCGTTTAAATTTTCATCTAACCCCAGTAAATTTTCCCAGCAACAAACATTTGTTAAATTTAGAAATTGACAAATTATTATAAATTTTTTATATACAAATCGTTTATAGGTCATAAAACATTTTTTCAAAATATTTTCTGAGACCCTTTTTTCACAATATGAGGGACCTCAATGCTAAGAGCACTTATAGACCACGTGAACTTTTTGATATAAATTATAGGAACTAGCTTTATTTATCCATATATTTATAATCGTATATGGAAGTGGAAGGCATAACATAATATAAAAAATATTAAATAAAATGCCAATCATCGTTTGCCTTTATTGAAATTATGACCGTTTTTCAAAGCTGTTTTTGGATAATGTTACTTTGGTATTTTTGGTAATCATTCACATTTTATTCACTTTATTAATCAATCATAATGTACATTTTATTTATTAATCGTTATACAAGGAAGTCGTGAAAGGTTAAGTGATGTCAATAATCTATTAGTAAGTTAATCAACACCTATTATATTAATCATAAATATATATATATAATCATATCTAAATGACGAATATAACCATAATATATAAATAGAATATTACAATAAATTACTCCTTTACTACATTTCCCCCTATGTTAATTAAGAGACGCCTATATCTCTTCAATCATTCGTTTTGGCAGTTTATGTGTCCTCCCTCGTCTTGGTGTCTCCCACTCTCTCTAATCGCTGCCCCTAATCATCCGTGTCGTATCTGATACCACACTGTCCCTTAACTAGTCAGCATGTTTTTGTACACAATCTGGCATCTAAACTACATAAAAATATAATTCCTTCCTATCTTGAATTATCCCTTTTCTCCAACACTTAGTGGTTTTGTTCCTTATCAATACATGTTGACCAACGTCAAATCCTTTAACACTGGAATGTGTGTCATGTTCTCGACTTTATTTATCATTGGATTTATTAATCATTTCCCATCTCTGGTCTAGCCTAATCTACACTAGTTTTTATCTGAAGACCGAACATAAACTTCGCTAATGACTTACCCGTCGAACTATGTTCTCCCAGCCTATACGCTGCTACCTTATGAGTCATCGCCTCTTGCGGGTCATTAATTGATTCTCCACTGGCATAATACCTCCCTTTCAAGGTTCGAATGGTTCGTTCCGCCTGCCCATTTGTCTTCGGGTGGTACGGCGTTGAGCGAATGTGGCAAATGTTGTTTTCTTCACACAATCGCTTAAATTCTGTAGAAATAATTGACGTAATTGATGAACATTCTTTGAGTTAGGTGCGGCCTGGATTGCTTTTAGTTTTTCTCCGCTTGGATGTACCCCATTTTGGTCAATCACGACACCTAGAAACGAAATAGAATTCCTTAAAAATTGAACTTTTTCAAATTTGACTTTGAGATTTGCTTTCTGCACCCTTGAGTACTATTTTTAAATTAGCTTGATGTTTGGCGTCATTTTTACCGGAGATAATTACATCTTATGTTTTGAGATGACCAAATATTCTTGGGACTCTGGTTCAACTATATGTCCTTTAAATCTATCACTGTAAAATGCCCCCCCCCCTACTGAATCTTTACCAGTAAGTCATCCAGCTTTGGAATAACAGATCATATAATAGATGGAGATTTAAACTCACCTTGAAATCTGCGCAAATAGGAATCTAGTCATTGTTCTTCCTGACATTTACCTTTGGGGTTGCCCATGGCACCCTAGTTGTAAAGGAATCGATGGGCTCCAAAATCCTGCAGAAACAAGGCCATCCTCTAGTTCAACCGCTTTGCGTAATGGAAAAGGTACTCGACGAGCTGGAAACGATTTTGGAACAGCCATATCTTTTAATGAGTCGCACAGCGAAATTACGTAAGACGGTTTGCAGTCAAAAATGCTTTGACCTGTTTAGCTAACAAAGGCCCAATTGAGTCTTCTGTTAGTGATATCTTCGGCCCGCGGGGCACCTATTGTATTCGAGCGGCCCATTGGGGCTTCGGCCCGCGGGCACCGATTATATTCGAGTAGCCCATCGGCGCATCGTTGCGCTGGTAGCGATTTGATATTATTGGTTTTCTATTCGTTTTGAGAACCTGTTGTATACTAACCTGTCTCTAACTCAAACCCAAATGCTAACATCCATGGCAACCCAAACAGAGGTAGGTCATTTGACTTTATTATAATAACTGATGATTTACAAATTTCCTTCCCCACTTGTACATGAATCATGGCTTCACCCATTAGATCCAAAGGCATATTGTGGAAGATTTTAGTGGTTTGCCAATTTTCTCCCAAATATTCAATTCTGTAATAGAGGCTTGTGCTCCTGTATCATAGTTAAACGTGACACCTTCGCTTAGTCCATTTATTTTGGCTGTAATCTTTGCCCTTTTATTTAATCCCCCTATCCAAAGATTATTTATGAATCACATGAGTGAAAGTGTGGTTTCATTGAGTTTAAATTGCGATACACAGGCTTACTACGGCACGAAGTGTCCGGTTCTTTGGCACTTAAAAGATGTTTTGTCTTAAGCTGGGCATAAATATCTTTCATGTCAGCCAGCACATTTCTTATATTTATTATCAAACTTGTCTATAGGCTTCCTATAATTATTATCTCTCTTCGCAAACTCCATATTTAGCACAAACTGAAACGTCAGGGGTTTTTTGTTCACATCCAATGCTAACGGATATTTAGTCTTAAGTTCAACTTCAAGACTAGGTAGATCTATGCCCGCAATGATCTCTTAACCGGCCGTCAACTTATGACGGCGTAAAACAACACTCTTCGCAGTTATTTTGGTCCTATTGGCGAACCCCAATTGGTTCTCTCATTCCTAATTAACCTTATAAAGTCTAATCGACTATCAAAGATGGTTTTCTGCTCAAATTATATAGTGAAACTCTCCTTATCTTATCAAATTTAGTAGTTAGAATGGTTTTAGGGAATAAATATTTTTCGAGAATATCAATGCCCTTAGCTCTAAAAGTCACCACGAATAGGTCCTCTCCTGCTCTGTCGGCCTCTAGTTTTTTTATCTCATTTTTGCGTCCCAAAATTGTAACCAAGGTTCAATAGCCCCACCATTTATTTAATATTTTGCCAATTTATCTATTAAAATAGTGTTTGTTTTGGCCTGCGGCATAATTTATAAAAATTAATAACTATTCTCTTCTTGTTTTTATTAGAATATTAGAATCCTCTTTGCTACTTTGGTATTTTTAGTAATCATTCACCTTTTATTCACTTTATTAATTAATCACAATGTACAATTTATTAATCAATCGTAATACAAGGAAGTCGTGAAAGGATAAGTGATATCAATAATCTATTAGGATGTTAATCAACACCTATTATATTAATCGTAAATATATATATATAATCATATCTAAATGACGAATATAACCATAATATATAAATAGAATATTACATTAAATTACTCCTTTACTACAGTTACCAGCAATTTTATTTTTTATTTTCAAACAAAGGATAATAACTTGTTGAATTAATTTTTTTATATAATATAAAAAAAATCCATATCCCCATTTTTGTAACAGAAAACAAACTGGTTTGATTTTGACAAACGATTAAATGTTGCCTGAAATGGGGCTCCGGATTCTTTATTTTTAAGTTAATTTTTTATTAAAGTCATTGATAATAATCTTCTAAATTATAAATAAAATTAGATATTAATTATGATTGTTCCAAAATTATAATTGTTATTTCTTATCAAAGATATACTTCTAAAATAATAACATAAAATAAGATAGCACATACGCTATATTCTAATGTTTATATTTTTATATTTTTGTAAATCACTCTTAAATTACGTTATATATATATATGCCATTTTGTCATATACCTTTATATTTTATCATATACACAAAATCTTTTATTTAATAATATTTAAAACATAATCATCCTTTTACAATCTGTGTTCAGTATTTATAATATTTAAAAAATAATACAAAAATTAATAATAATTAATAACAGGATTGCCAAGTCGAGTTTAACAGGTCAAATTTAGTCAATTCACTGGAAGAGTATTTAACCTGGTTAAATAAGGTCATATACTCTAAAAAAATCTGAAGGAAAAAAAATTAATACTTATTTTTTGGGTGCCCAATATCAAGGGGACATCTCAGTAGTAGTGAATTTAAAGGAGTATGTGATATAATATAAGAATTGGTCATTATACCAGGTGGTAATGATCAAAATATTTCAAGTGAGATACTATATTTCAGAAGTAAAAGAGGCATGTTTAATAGCAAATTATGTGGAAAGCAGTAAATTCTATAAGAAATAATCAGATTCATGACTCAAATTAGTGGAATAAGTCTTATCTTTTCTGAAGATTTAGGCTTCCTCATGCATTGCATAATATACATTTTTTCATTACATTCCATAGTAAATTTTTCCAAAATTCCTTGTGTTTAATATTGCAAAAATACTATCTTTGGTGTCAATTAAGGATAAAATGTTGCATGCATACTTTATCTTATTGGGTAATATTATTTTATCTAAAGATAAACATTTTAATTTTTTTTTAATCTGTATTAACCATCATTTATTTCATCAAATTCTAATAGATCATCCTCAAAATCATTGCCAAGATCATTTAACTTACATATTCAGTAAATGACTTGTCAAAATTAGAGACATTATCTTTAACAGTAGCAGCAATTAGTTTATCAGAAATTCCTTACTCTCTATAGACTTCTTCCAGTAATTCTGAAATTTTATCAAATGAATGTGTTTAAGGTAGATATAATAGTATTCTTTGTATAAACCAAAATGAAACCTCTAATTTTTAATAATCATAAATTTATATATTTTTAGCAGTATTAATAGAGGTTTATCTTTTTTTATATAGGTTTGACAATCAGCTCATACCATATTTT